GAAGTGCAGCTAAGCTACATCCCCAGGCCCTCTTTATTCTTTATTGAGTGTTATTTCAACCACCACATCCCCAGAAGGTAACATCATGCAGATGAGGCCATCACTCAGCACACGTGGGCAGATTTCACATACCAATTCATGGGTGGAGAAGTCACTCCATGCTGGTACTCCTTGTAATATCTTTTCTATTTCAGAACTTCAGAGTTTGCATACACTTATCAACTTCATTTACAGCACATTTTCTCTTTCTATGTGACTTTGTAATTTACAAGATGGATTACTGGATAATTTCTACAAGATGGCCTTGTACTGCCTTTCTTCACATTCTTAATCCAGCTCAGTTTAAAAATAAAAATAACAGATTAAAGTACAAAAAGAGGGCTTTTAATTATTTCATGTAATATGAAGAAAGAATAATATTATAAAAAGATAAATTTCCACATATACAAAGGAAGAATTCAAACATAGCATACCTAAGGAACAGGATCTAAGGGTATGATTTATCTCTAAAACCAGAAAATATACTACCTCCTTCTAGGTGAAATGGATTCAGTGTCCTAGGTAAAATTATTTTCCAAGGCAGACATAAAGATTTTATATATGAGAAATATAAAAGAGTTGGGCATGTCTCAGACCATGTCTGAATTCCAAACATGAAAGTTTCAGGAAAAACTACTAGGAATAATTAAACTAAGCTCACGGGGACTGGGGGGAGATTTGGTGGATGGATTTGTACAATTTTCCACATCTTGAAATAGAAATCAGTAAAATGAGTTCTGGATCAGAGATCTGACCTGTGATGGATAGGAGGAAGTGTTAATCTGACAGATGAAAAAGGAGCACAAATTTCATTTGTATTGCAATGATGTTATATTAGCATTTATATACATTAAGCTATAATATATCTGGTTGGATTTACCTCAGATAAATGTAAGAGGAAAAGATATTGTTGATTGAGTGCAAAATATCTTTTGAGGAGTTTTGCCTTTAGGGAGAATGTGTGTGTGGCTAGAGCAGAATGAGAGATCTAGACAGATTTTTTATAAATTTCAGAAGAATTAATGTACATTTAAATTAAGGATGCCAGACTGCACAGTTGACCTTATACTACCACTTGATGTGATTCTGAGAAATACCAGATTAAGAATAGTGATGGATAAATGAAATTCCATCACTTGCCTCTTGAATATTACACATAAATAAAGAGACACAGATGTACTTTAGCTTTCCAGGTCTCCAAATGTCTGATGAAGTGGTCATATTTAGCAATTTCCAGAATGAAACCTTCACAATTTAAGTGTCATCACTACTCTTTGGGTGAGGTTTCTATTTAATAAGAACTTGAAGATTATATTAGTGTCCATTAAAGTGATTAAAGTTCTACATATTTTTCTAAACCAGAGAAAGGAGAGGAAAGTTAAATAAGTGAGAAATCAAAAGCCCGCAAAAGTTTCATCATGTGTCATTGTATTCTAAAATAAATCTCAGGGCAAATACATAATCTTTGAACACAGTTACCTGGATAAGTTATGCAGATCTGAGAGCTGAGAGTTAAGAAAGGGTTGATGAGGAGAAACAGGGAAGCAGAGTCAGTAAAGGTGGAAAGGGGTTTTGGGAAACACAGAGATGGGCATGTGGGTAGGTACAAGGGAAGTAAGAATGATCAAGATGCTCTATGTGTCAATCCCCAAGCTGAATGTAGCCTGTATTTATTGCACATATATATGAATAAAAATTTAAATGCAGAAGTAGCAAAGCATACTATAGAAATCTGATTAAATAAATATTTGTTGGGCACTTAGCAGGAGCTGGATCCTGGGCTATGGACCTAGAAGGGTGAAGTGTTTATAGGAAAGTGTTATGGAGGAAGGATGGGAAGACAAGTTTAATAACAACACTTTTAATTAAAATCAATTTCATGAGAAAAGTGATCTGTACAAGAAAAAAACCCTCATTGATCATAGTAAGTCTGGATACCTCAATAACTGTCATATGTGTGGGTATAAGTCATTACAAACCCTAGCTAAATATGTAATACTCAGGGGTGTCTTTTCTTAGACATCATCATTGTTGACTGAATCTTAGTTTTTGTTCTGTATAATGAATTCAGAATTTTTTAATCTACTTTTTATAATCACTGCTGGTGACCAAAGATATAGATAAGACCTTCTTATAATTTTGATAAATATTCTCTTAATTTTTTCACAATAGTTTCCTTCACATGTGGAGACTGAATTTATATTTTAATTTTGAATTTTGAATTCAACTACAAAATACACAGAAGGTCATTGTGCACAGATTTGTCAATGTGTTTAGCACATGTGGAAAGATGGTTCATGGGTGGATTAACTTTTCATGTTACTCCTTTTTATGACATCTATGTTTAAGGAGTTCATAATTTTTGCATATTTTATTAAGATTAATTTACATCACATTCTGTTAAACCAATATGTTGCACATAATTTTTTGAACTCAGGACCTTGCACCTGTGAGGCAGGCACAATGCCACTGAGCTAAATTCCCAGCCAGGCACATATTATTCTGAAGTATGGAAAAGAGAAGAAAGATAAAACAGTGGGGATTTCAAAGCTGAATAAAATATCAACATTTGTTACTGCATCCTAAAGTGATTTTTAGAAGGATGAATACACCCTCTCCCAACACAAGTGTCTGGGAAGCTTGTGCAACTAAGCAAGAGGAAAGTTGAGAAAGACTTCAAGGACAAGGAAGCCAGGCCAAGAGCTGCAATATCCAAGGATCCTTGAGGATTTCACCTGTACAAATGTTTAAGCAGATAACTCACCCATTGAATGTGAAATTGTTGCACAACATGGTTATTGAGATAATGGATGGAGGAAACGTGATAGTAATTTGAAAAATTCCTTAACTTTCCCAAACTTCCATTGGCTGTTCTCTTATTTTCAGACCTCATAATTGCAATCATCTTCCTCTCAAGTCTTTCTGGCCATGTCTATGACAAGGGCCATTCACAGATAGACTCACCACTCTTCACTGAATTCTAGGTCTTTTTCTAGAAGTATGCTTAGCATCACACTCATGCTCTCTTACATTATCTCAAAGGTTGACATTACAGTAAAATTTTTTAAATGTATCTAGAGAGAGTAATATCTCACAAAAATGCAAGACTAAAAGTCATTTGTAGAGATACCTAGAGCCTTCATTGCCATGACCTACTTAAGTATGAAGACAAATATTGATGAATTAAACCATATTCAAACAAAGTAGTTGTGGGAAAATTTTAAACACCATAAACCACATGCAAAAGAAAATAGACTCCTAAAGAGTAAATTTGCAACCTAAGTATATTGGCACAGACCTGTAATCCCATCACTCTGGGAAGGTGAGGCAGCAGGATTGAAAATTTCAGCCCAGCCTGGGTAAACTAGCATCTTAGTGAGAACTTGCCACAAATATAAATAAATAAACAGGAAAATGGACTGGGCTTCCAGTTCCTCCTGAATGTGCTTGGTTCAATCCTCAATACCAAACATCTCCAATAAATAGG